GCAATGTTACTTGATGTTTCTAAGTATTTGTAAGTATTATTTTCTAGCAATTTCTGAGTGAAAAGAGTTTCAAAGTAGGCCTAATCCGTTTTTTTTAAGTGTACACAATAGGCATAATTATGGAAGCCCGTTTCCGCCACTAAATAAAAAATAAAACAAGGTAATTGCGACTTTTTATCTCACAATTCTGACTTTTCAGAATTGTGTGACACGCAACTGCGAGTTATAAAGTCAAAACTGTGAGTTATAAAGTCATGCAATTCTGACTTTCTTTTTTTCTCGGAATTGGGAGTTTAGGCTATATCTCGCAATTCTGAGAAAAAAAAAAGTCATAATTGTGAGATACGAATTCGCAATTCCGAGAAAAAAAGAAAGTCAGAATTGCGAGTTTATATCTCGCAATTCTTACTTTATAACTCGCAGTTTTGACTTTATAACTAGCAATTCTGTAAAAAAAAAAAAAAAAGTCATAATTGTGAGATATGAACTCGCAATTGTCAGAAAAAAAGAAAGTCAGAATTTCGAGATATAAACTCGCAATTGCGAGAAAAATACCTCGCAATTCTGACTTTATAACTCGCAATTGCGTGTTATAAAGTCAAATATAAGGTATTGCAAGATATGAACTCGCAATTCTGAGAAAAAAAGTCAGAATTGTGAGGTAAAAAGTCACAATTACCTTGTTTTATTTTTTATTCAGTGGCGGAAATGGGCTTCCATACATAACAGATATGATCAAAAATGTATGTTCAAAATAATCTATTGCAATAAAATGGAATCATACATTTTGGGTGAACTATCCTTTTAATTTTACGTTAATGAGCCTGACATCTGAAACCATATTTCCATTTTTAGTGAATTGTCAGGACACATCATATGAAACCATAGAACAATTATCTGAAGGTAACGAATAGATCCCTCTTTTATAAGATTACTATTAGACCGCTTTAGGAATGCCCATCATTCCCTTTGGAAATGAGAACGGATAGACTTGAGTCATCACATTTCAACACCAGAGTAATTTGGCCCCATTTTCTCAGTCTCTGCAGCCCAACCCAATGACACAACGCACACTGACACCGCGCTCGAGTTAGCGCCTCGCTGAATGGGTTTGGACTGTGTTGCTTTATGTGTTGAGTGTCTGACCTTCTCCAAATGCATCAGAGAATATGTTTCTCAGTACTTGAGTGAACAATAAGTTGGGAATGGGCATAAAGGAAGCCTTTCATGTCAAATGAAGTGTTATGCCTTTAGGGTATTGATGTCCTGGGACAGTCGCTGACAGTACCTCTGTTGTTTGGAAACATTTTTTGCCCTGTTACTCAGTAACCACACATAATTCAGTCTGAAATCGATCCACTTTGCTGTCCCTTATGGCCTTATATAAGTGACTCTCTAATAAAACACTGTAGAATAATTTCCCAGAAGTCCCACATTCCTCAAATGTGCTGACTTTAAAAAGAGGAAGGGATTTTTTTTTTATCCCAGATGACTTGATATTTTTAGAGTATTAATTTCCTGTGTGTTGTGTCTTTTCGTATTGTGTTACTGCATTCACATTAGTGGTCTGTTATATTCTTCTAGTTTCATTTATTAGTTGTGTTTGCTAAAGCAAGCAGCACTATTACTATTTGAATACTTAAGGTTAAAGAGATAGTTCACCCAAAAATGAAAATGCTGTCATTTACTCACCCTCATGTCATTCCAAACCTGTAAGACTTTCTTTGTTCTGTGGAAATATGAAATAAGATATTTTGAGAAACGTCTCACAATGGAAGTCAGTGGTAACCAAAACGTTTGGTTACCAAGAATCTGAACAAATCCTTATACCTAAGTATTCAACTTTGGCACAACTCTTCGTACAGTTTCTTCAAATCATGTAACTTGTTAAAGGGAGGTGTGTTATTATTTTTCTAAAGAACCAGATGACTGATTATTACTTGGCAAGCGATAAAACAGGCAAACCAAAATCACCCAAAGTGGAGGAGTCCTAAGAACATGTACTATTGACAATCAGGGATTCAAAATCTAACTTAAACTCATAAATAACACCTTTAAGCACATACTTTTATGTCAAATATGTAAAATATTTAACATTCTGCAGTATTTGTAAGTTATTAAATAATAAAGTATTATAACTGATCATGCAAATTTTCAGATTTTCTTGCTTTGAAGCACAAAATATTTTTTGCATTATGGAAAACATGATAATCAGGAAATTCTAAACTTCATATCGATTTTTAAAATCAACTTTTCACTCAAATTTATACTTATACCATAACAGCTCTCAGACGGTTAGAGCCAACTGTTTGTCAATTCTGGTCTACAATAATGCATAACCATTGTCAGCAGCTCTACAGTGGCCCCAAAAAGTATTTGGACACATTTGTCGACACTTACGAATGTCTGAATGTTGTTGCAGATACAAAATATCTAACTAAGTGGAATTTTGTTTCAAGAAAGATAGCAAGAGAACACTGTTCAAGAAAAAATTTTTCTCAAAAAGCTGGGTTGATAAAACAAGTCTCAAAGTGAAGAGAGGTGTGAAACATTGGAACACATTCATATGTGACAAACAACACCTGTGTAAACATGACGGTAACTGATTAAAAATCACTGTCACAGCAGTTAATGAAAAGTCATAAAATTAAGAAGTAGTTTTAACCTTGTGCGGTCTTCGGTCACTTCTGACCGGAGAATTTTACATTTTGAATTTTAAAAAATCGTAGCTTCACCAGAATGGTACGAAACTTGGTGACTTTTGTGGCACTTGGACACACACTTGTACACAGACACACACACACACACACCTATGAACTGGTGTGACTGTAACACTGCAACTATGTAAAATAAAATCAATAATTCAACTACAATGCAGTAAAAAAGTGGACAGCAAGGAAGGGGTTACACTAAAACATCAAGAGTGTAAAACAGATATATCCACTCACATACACACACATACAGAATTATACATACTCAAATGAATTGGTATGGCTATAACCATATAGCCAAAATGAGTCAGAAGACTGAAATAAGAGGTTAAAATCAGATCAGACCTAGAAGGATTAAGCTCTGATAAAGCATTCCTGTAAATTTTTGTTACATTTTTATAGAATTTTAATGTTTTGTGTAACAAAATGCTTTCTGTGTTCAGGTTTAAATGTAGTAATAATAATGGAAAAACCTACACTTCAAATCAACATTTAAAACAACAAAAAATATAAACCTTGACAAAAAGTAGTCTTTGAGAATGCCTTAATATTAATTTAAATCCCCAACCTAATAAAAGTAAACAATGATGTATAAAAACAACTAGGGAATTCACAAGCCTCTCTATAGAGTCCTATACTGAATCTAGAGGTTACAGGTTTTTCTTTTTCTTTTTTGCTCTCACCAGGAAGTGCTATTCTCCCTTTAAAAATCTAGTCTCTATTTTAATCTGAAATACTGCATTAATTGAAAAATAATTGTAAAAAAATATATGTAAAAAAAATTAATATTTTCAATGGGAAAAATTGATCATAATTATTGCATAAATATCAATTACTAGCATAACATTTTCTCTAAATGCAAAAGAAACAAATATTATTGAACAAAAATATATTAGATTTATTTTACTGAAGAAAAAAAAAGTTACATTTCAGGTGTCCGGTCACTTTTGACCGCGAAGACCATGAGTGTGACTCCCAAATGAGGAGCGCACAAGAGAAAAAATTACAGTATTTTAATGCAAATGACACCTGCTTTTATTTGTAGCTAATGCAAAACCATTTTAAGTGCCCACATACTACTACTACATGTAATGTTACTGGACGTGTGAGGTGTGTGCTTAGGGAAAAGCATTTCTGTCCCTCTTCATGCTGCAGATAATGTTGCTGTGTAGGAATGTTTGGCTTGTGGAGTTGATCACATGAGTCGTGTTATCCCTCACTTCACTTTCCTCTTCACAACATCATGGTTTGGTTTGGCTACTGGAACGCTCTGAAATGTCTTCAGATGGGACCTGTAAGGCTGATCAGCATGGCGCTGCGATCTCCACATTAACCACCAAACACGTGTATGATGTGTGCATATAATAGTTTTACATTGTGACGCATTTGAATATTATGCATCGAGTTATGCTTTGAAAGATTTGAAAGCTATAAAGAGGAAAGATTGTCACTTACATTTTGGTTTGTTCATCACAGAGATGAATGACTTCAAGTATTGGAATATAGCTATAGTGCATGTACTTGTATGAGCCCGGTCTCATGAAAATGCGTATAAATAGTACGCCAAATAAAAACGAAAACTCGTGGTATTGATACGCAAAAATGGACTTTGGCGTGCATATGATACGCATGTGTTTGGCGTGCATATAATACGCAGTTTTCGCGTGCATATGATACGAAATTTGTTGGCGTGCATATGATACGCAGTTTTCGCGTACATATGATACGCATCTACCCCACAACCCTAAATCTACCCATTGCGTAGCATATACACGCCAAAGTCCATTTTTTTGCGTATCAATACCACGAGTTTTGGTTTTTATTTGGCGTACTATTTATACGCACTTCCATGAGATCGAGTTGACTTTTATGGTGCTTTTTGCCATTTTTGAAGCATTGAAAAATTATGAAACATGAATTTTAGGGACTAAACAGTAAATTCACAAATTAAATGAAAACCTTTCATCTAGCCTATGCATTTTTTTTAATCTATCCATTCGTTCATAGCCCAAATGATCAGGCTGATTCAGGCTCGTTCTTTTATGATAACACTGGAGTTTTGCTCCAGTCCAACAGACCAAGTTGACTCCTCAAGTAACCTTCTCAAATTAAACGTTAGATGTCAAATTCACTGTAATATATCAAATGAAATGCTGGATTATTTCCACATGTCTTGTGGTGAGCAAATTCTCTTCAGTGTAGGCTACTTTAATCATGTGAAGTTACAACGCAACCACACGACAGCAGAGAGTCTTTACACGTCTCTTTCAAGCACAAGCTCTCTAAAGCCCCAAAAGACTGATCTTGGTTATTTAGCTTATAGGGATCCGTGTGAATAACCTGCACGCGGACACTGTTTTCCTCTAGGCGCGCTCGTGAACTGCACAGCTGGTCTCGCGCTCTCGCGCTTCTTCATTCACAGCGGGACTCGGCGGAACTCGCTCAGTTTCTCTCAGTGAGCAGAAGAGTTCACTAAAGGAGCCGTTTAAACTCGCTGTCGTCCACTCTGGAGTAGACTTCGTTAGATGTTAGAGTTTAGGTCGAGTTTCAGTCGATTTAAACGGAGAGCTGCCTCCGAAAGTTACAAGAGCAGTTCTGCGGGTGTAGCCTACGTTTCTTTTCACTCAGCTGTTAGTTCGTTTCATAGTAGATTTTCCTTCTTTTTGTCGCTGTCTACAGTTAGTTTTATTTACAGGTTGAGAAAATGCCGAGAGGTTTTTCGTCGAAATAGCTTTCCCGTCACGCGTGGTAAACTTATTTTCGCGGGTCGGCTATTTTAGTGGATTTAATCTGTGTCGTGTGATGTTTGCTGTGTGGAAACCTAAACTCTTGACTTGGCTTTTGCAGTTTTTACTGATCTTACTGGTGGCTTTTCACAGGTGAATAAGTTTGTCCAGCTATTCCCCATCAATTTCCCATCTTCAATGGTTTGTCAAAATTTAACGCTGGAGATCCTCCGCTGACAGAAGTCGTTAAAAACTTTCTTTCTGAGTGTTTCAGTTCGTGTTTCCAGTTGCAAACATGGATAAATACGACGATTTGGGACTTGAGGCGAGTAAATTCATCGAGGACTTGAACATGTATGAAGCATCGAAGGACGGGTTATTTCGCGTGAAGAGAGATGCGGGAAACAACCCGGATTTTGAAGAAACCAGAAAAGTTTTTGCCTCAAAGATGACCAAAATACACATACAGAAGCAGCAAGAGGAGATGGCAAGAAACAGTTTGGCAGCAAGGATCAATGGAAGTAATTCAAAAGTGTCAGATAACACATTTTACACCAAAGACAGACCACCCATCAATAGTTATAGACAGGGTGGTGAAGCAGCAGCCAAACCACCCATCATGTCTGGACCAATGGTTGGCACTGCCAGTGTGACTCCATACATATCTTATGACGGACAAAAGCATCATTCGGCCAGCTTACCTGATGGATCCAGCAACAGGGCTTATGACGTTAAGGAGACTGGTAATGCTGTTAACCCAATACCAGTGCCAGCCCGATCAGCACCCTCTACCAGCCCCCCTGGCACATGGGCATCAAGAAGCGGTTACCCGTCTCAGGCGCCATCGTATCCTTTCTCAAACAGTTCCTCCTCTTCTAGCTCACCTGGAGCGGGTCAGAATTATTCTCCAGTGTCTCAGGGATTCCCTCAAACAGGGAAGTCTCCCTCTCAGTCGCCCACAGGAACGTACAGGGAAGTATATCACCAGCCTCAACAAGTTAGCCCTGGGCCGCACTGCCAACCAAACTCTGCCCAGTGGCCTGCCAGTGGACTGACATATCAAAACGGGGGAGCTCATAATATTGGCACCCCCTCCCCTACCCAGGTGACCCAACCTCGAGGGAAGCAAGGTGAGCCATCCCAACCCAAGAGCTCTGCACCCGGTAACCCGACAGTGCCCGCTTTTACCCCTGTTGAGTCGCCCCATGATGAGTCTTCAAGCCATTCTCGGGCGCTCAAGCTGCCATGCCAGACCCTGCATGTACAGACAGATCAGGGGCCATCTGCAGCTGAAATAAAATTAGAAGCTCTAACTGAACGCCTGGAAAAGGAGATGGACGACCAGCCAAAGGCTGAGTACTTTGGTAAGCACAACGTGATCACTGCCAGTTTTGTGTTTTTATATTTATCTTTTTCACATCTGCAATTGTGTTTAGCAGCTTGCTGATTGAAAAACCCTCTGCCTGTTTCCACTTGACCTTCACTCTATATGTGTGTGTGTCTGTGTGGTTCTTGCCACAATGAGCCGTACATTCAATTGTATGTGAGTGTGCGAAATAACGATGTAGCCTAGATCCCTGTTACCAGTGCTTTTCCAGGCTTTTTCCTTTCCAGAAACTATTCCTGGACCTGCTTTTTTCTAATCTGTTGTTAATTTCTTTTATTTCATTACATTTCAGTTATCAAAGGCAGACTTTGCTGTTACCTCTTTTCTTTTTTTTTTATTGAGCTAGACTGTGATCTGTGGGAGTATGTTCAAGCTAATGGATATTTCTCACACTAAGGAAAGTTTCCTCCCTGTCTCGTGGTGCCCGCTGAGTATGAAACTTCCCTAAACCAACATTGCCATCCCCATTATCATTCACTCTGTGGGCAGTGGGCCTGCAAAACTAGTCTATATTCATTCACTTTTGTCTCTACACAAGACCTACCAATTGTCTCTGGCAGACAATATTACAAACAAACACTCAAGGTATTTTATTATCTTTCATGCTCGGTGTTGAATTTAGTTTCAGTTTACTTGTTTGTTTACAAGTTTATTGACCTAAGACTAAAAGGATTTATGGTTAAAGTGCAGGTATATACTTATGGAGCTCAGGACGATGGCATATTTAAAGAGGTAGTTCACCCAAAAATTAATATTGTCGTTTACTCAACCTCATGTCTTTACTGTATGAGTTTCTTTCTTCTGTGGAACGAAAAAGAAAAAAAAAATTGAGAAATCTTTTGGAAGTCAATGGGCTCAAAAGTTGTTTAGTTTCCAATATTCTTCAAAATATTTTCTTTTGTATTTCACAGAAGAAAGTAGTGTTGTCACGGTACCAAAATTTCAGTATTCGGTACCGATACCAGTGAAAATCCACGGTTCTCGGTACCAATTTTGGTACCAAAGCAAAACACAAAAACATGCTAATTGAACAACATTTTTATTAATAACGTTAAACAAAAATTAAATGTACAAACCCAATGCCATTCTTTATACTTATTTAAAAGTGTTTCAAGTTTTCCCACAGGTAATAAAAGTATGAAACAAGTAAACAAGTTTCACCCAAAATTTCTGACGGACTGATATGACATAAACACTGTTAACCATACATTTGTACATTCTCTAACACGCATATTTTGGTTACACAGTTCATTTAAAAGCCTCTGGTGTGTAAAAATAGTAAATACCATTATGTCCTCCTGTTTTTTACAGTAATAAAAGTTATAGGAGCATTAAATAGTTAACAAAGAAATAATTTTGAACAAAATGAACAAAATGAATTCTAATGCTCCTTATATTAGCATTAGCCGCGCTTATGCAAACGATTAACTACGTATATGCTAACGGCGATGTTTATTTCAATCCGAAATTCAAATTAAAATATGGAATAATATTCATTACAGAAGCTCTAAATATTAAAAATGTAATTGAAACTTACCTGCTTGAACTTGATCGGGGTGTTTTGTTAGTTTGATGCGTTTCCGCCACTGCTTTTAAGAAGAGGTTGCCAGGTTTTCACAACAAAACCCGCCCAATCGCGTTTCGAGGGGGTCCACGTTAAAAATCGCGTTCCGAGGATAAAATACGCATGTTTTGGCGGGGTTCCCCAGGTAAAATTCGCATTCCAGGGGCTAAATATCACGTTAGTGGGGTCGTTTTTCAACCCGCGGACATGAAAAACAACCCGCGGCAACCGTGTTAAAGCAGCCCAATTCCGCGGGAAAACCGCGGACTTGGCAACACTGGAAGAGGATAGCTTTCTGATAGCGCATCAAGAACCGGGTTGACCGGGTACTCGGTACCACCGGTACTTAAAAAAACCTGGTACCGTAACGTTTTCATTTTTTTAGTACCGACTTGGCACCGAAATACCGGGTCTTTTGACAACACTAGAAGAAAGTAAGTCTTAGAGGTTTGGAATGACGTGAGTAAATCATGACAGAATTTTCTTTTTTGTGTGAACTATCCCTTTACCACGATGCAAAAAGAGTGAATATCAACCAGTGTCTTTATAGTTTTGTGTTGGTCAATTTTCACAGCTTTTTATCCTCAAAGTTTTTTTTTTTCCTTTGGAAAGCCATATTTTCAATATTTTCATATTTTGTCTGAACATTCAACACCAAGGTACTCAAGTACAACCCATCCAATGGTCTGTACTGTGATTATTCGCAGCCTTTAAATTAAAGATGCCATCTATCCTGAGTGAGGTCCATAAACAAGTGTAACACCGTGAAGCCTAAATAGACTTCTAAAATACGTAAAGAAAACGTGGGTGGTCTCTGTCTGAAAGTCACCACATGACAAAAGGTCACGTGAGAAGGAGCAGAATATCATTTGGAACCTATTAATGAGCCTATGTTTCTAAACTAGTTCAGTATGCCAGCTTTAATGGCTAACAGAAGAAGCTGACAAGTGTTGACATCTGATGTGCTTGTCTTCACAGTTTCCTCTGTGTTCTTGAAAGTGTAGTCTCTGATGGTGCATTGAGCAACGTTTTATTGTTTTCCTTGTCTTAATATTCATACTTGAATATAGTAAAAGGGTGAAAAAAATATCAAAGGGAATCAGTGCACCCATAACTGAATGGATTATAGGTTTTACTGCCATATGGATAAAGTGCATTGGAGATATCAGTGCAGAATAGTTCTCAGATATAAAGCGTGATGGTCTAGCAGTCCCTAGTTGCACTTGCTGTTTCCATTGAGCTCTAGTAAATCATTCAGTCTTGCTAAAGGAATTTCCTGCTGGAAAAGCATATAGAGCCATCGTAGAGTGTGTGAACTGTACTTTGGCTTGACAGTCACTCTCTCTCTCTCTCTCTCTCTCTGGTTCATACTAGAACATAGATTGAGTGACAAATGCTGTCTTTGGCCTTGCATGAACTAAACAAATCGAGGATTTTTTGTATACTGAGGAGTGGGTGAATAAAGTCAAATATCAAAACGTCAAATATCATTCAGGCCATAACAAGTATCTTTTGGACAATAGTAGGACTGCAAAACGATTAATCATGATTAATCGATTCAAAATAAAAGTTTGTTTACATATGTTTGTGTTCTGTGTATATTTATCATGTATATATAAATACACACATGTATATATTAAGGAAAAATATGTTAAAATATTTATATTTATATACAATATAAGTTATATACAAGTGTTTACATACAAAAACATACAATACATACAAATATTTGTTAAAATATATACATATGTGTGTATTTATATTAGGCGTGGAACGGTTCAACTTACTCACAGTTTGGTTTGTATCACGGTTTTAGAGTCACGGTTTCGGTATGTTTCGGTATGTGCTATGTTAAGGCAAAAAATATACTGTCAAATAAAAATAAAGAAAATAAGAATAATATAACTACAAGCAACAGCACAAATAAATACAATAGAGTAAAGATACAAATAAAATAAACGGTGATTTTCAGGGTTTTTTTTAGGTAGGTCTAACAGTTTTAGGAAAAGAAATTGAATAAAGTAATGAAATGTAAAACAGCATTGCATATTTGACTATAATTTAAAGATTAATCTTTATTAAAGTTACAAAAGCTATTCACTCAAAAGCAGCGAGTAATTTTGTTGTTGTTGCTGTTTGATTAATATTAAGAAAGTGCTGTCACCTTAAGAGAATGCACTGATACAGTATGTTCACTATGTCTGCTATAGGATACTTACCAAGACGGGCATTTTGACATAATTTTTGTGTGAATTTGTCCATTTAAACACAATACTTCAGAGAGAGCTTAATATTTGCGCGCATTCTGAGGCGCTGGTTTGCGTGCTTCGGATGAGCTCACGCACAAATCTTCTCACTGTGCGCGCGAGCTCGCGTCCTCTGGCTCTTAAATG